GCGTAGGCCTTATATAGGCCCTACCCCAACTCCATGGGACTTCAAGTCTCGTGGAGTTGCAGGCTGAATTCTAAAGAGCGATTGCCTGCAACTCCACGGGACTTGAAGTCTCGTGAAATTGACGAAATTACAAAACTTCACTGGACTTCAAGTCCCGTGAAGTTTTAGGCCCCTTAATCAACTTTGTTATCGGGGGTTTAAACTTTATGTGACTTGAAGTCCCGTAAAGTTTTGTAACTTTTTTCGCCAAATTCGACCCAGTTTTAGCCAACTTGCTAAAACTTGGTCGAATTTGGTAAATAATTTCGAAATAGGTCGTTTTTGGCAATTAAGTTTCTAAACAGGTTGTTTTTAAAATCTTGTCCTAGTTATTACTAGAAATGTACCGAAACTAGATAGTGAGCAATAATTGCACTAGTCTTTTTCTCTCACATCTATCACTATGGGCCCCACGCACGTGACCAAGTACACTTCTTTATTTAAGGGGGTGTTTGGTTCAATAGTGAGCAAGAATAGAATTAGGAAAAAAATATTTTTTTATGGATTCCTACATAATCTATTAACAATTTAAGGATAATTTTATGTTGTCATAGAATATTGTGGAATCTTATTTTTTTAACTTTCTATGTTTGTTTCATAACATTAAAATACAGAATCCAACTTTATAGAAACCCTAAAATTCATATTCTTTAGTTTAGCTTGGTTTGGAATGGTAAATGAAGTGGGTGGTGTCAGCTTTTTTACCTAATTCCACCCAAACCCATTAGATTTGGGTTTCCATAAAAAACACCCCTTTTTCTAACTTTATAGATTTCAAAATCTATAAAATTGTTATGAACCAAACTTAGGAATAGGATACATTTAGAATCCTTTATTTATAGTTTTGCTCTTGTCGGATCCAATTCCTATTCTTATTCTATAAAAAGAGTGAAACAAACACCCCCCTAAGGACTCGTTTGGATAATGGAAGCATTGAAAGTAAGAAGTATGTTACAAAAATAACTTTCAAAACTATAAAATAAGAAGTAGCGGAAATAACATTTTTTTTGTTTGTTTCATATATTTTTAGAAGTAATGGAAGTAAAACTTCTTCCTCTTCATTTACTTTTTTGTTTTGATAATATTTGAAAATATTACTATGAAGTAATTTTAAGAATCATTTTTCCTTGTGGACCCCACCCTACATCAACTTCCGCCGTATTTCATTGCATTCAAAGGCAAAAAATTATTAAAGAAATAGAGGTGCCAGCTAGATGTAACGTCAGCTTTTAAAGAAGTAACAAAAGTAGTTTTTACAGAGAAACAAACATAATTTCTTATATAGAAGTAAATGGACTATACTTCATCTACATCATAACTATTTTCACGCAAACAAACATGCCCTAAGCGTAAGTTGACTCCAGCTCATCATGGTCAGAGGAGAGATATTTCCAAAGTTCCAAATCAAGTCACACCCTTCGTCTCTCATGACGAGTTTATCTGAACCCATTTAGGTTTCTCAATCATCCACTTTATTGTACTTTATTATCTTGGTCTTCTCCAATCATTCTTTTCTTATGTTCTTTCTTATTTGATTTTTTTACTTATTATAAGAGCTAGAAAATTCACCCTTCATTTTCTTAGATGCGGCCATGTCAGCTACTTGGAGTTGGCGATATAGTTCTACAGCAACTGAAATCTGACCAAACCGAACCGAATTATTCGGTTTGATGTAGTTCAATACTTATCCTTGGCTTGGTTTTGGAGTTGGCGATATAGTTCTACAGCAACTGAAATCTGACCAAACCGAACCAAATTATTCGGTTTGATGTAGTTCAGTACTTATCCTTGGCTTGGTTCGGTTTTTTGAAATTTGGGCAAAACTGACCGTTTGCTCAGCCCTAAAAGAGCCTCCTTTTGTGGAGAAATTCTTAGCTGCTTCCTGCAGAGAAATTCTTAGGTGCTTCCGGCAGAGAAAAAACGTAGGGCCAAAAGAGCCACCAATGCACGATAGCCAATATTTTCTACTAGGGTAAAAGAAAAGAATCTTCCCAATTCATCAAAAATCCATAAATAAGCCCAGGGACACTTCATCCGCTAAATGATAACGGCCCAACATAGGAATCTAAAGGTTTTCAAGACAACTTTGTCTTCCACAGACACACACATAATAACAAACTACAAAATCAACAGATCAACTAGTCGACAAAACACAGACATTCGCCTTATCATCACAAATACAAACATGCTCTATGACTTCAGTTTCTTTGCCTTCTAATCTTGTGCTTGACGCCCTGAGAAAAATTCATGGGCCTTGTAGTATCGATCCAGGATTACATTGTATAGAGGGTGAATGGGCTCGAGAAGGTTAGAGTAAGGGCCTAGAACAGCCTTAGGCAATGGAGGGGCATTCTCATCTTTTGACCAGCTATACTGGCTCACTGAGAGACCACTGAGGACGTAACAAGAGTGATAATGATCTCTCTGCTTCCCTGGTTTGTCCTTGAATCCTCCCTCCAGTACCTGCAACAGCCAACACCCTGTAAATGACTTCAAACAAAGTAGGAAATTCAAGAAGGTTTAGAGGAGAAACAATGTGAATTGCATGGATTCTCCTTCAAGAGTGAGAACCGTGGTACGATGGATGCAGCTGTTTTAGTAATCAAGTTATAATCATAACTACACCTCCTTAAGTTTTCGTGTGATAAAGGGACATTAAAATGAAATTAGAACAGCCAAGATTCCACCAGGCATACATTTAAAACAGATTCAAAAAATGGCTGCAAAATTGAAATTAGAACCACCAAGATTCAAATTCCACCAGGCACACATTTAAAACGGATTTAAAAAACTGCCGCAAATATAAAACTATAACCTTCACCACAACTTCAAAGTTCTGATGTAGTAGAAGTGACTTTGGTTACGGACTTGATTCAATACTTCAAGTCAACATCTCAATGAAAGTTGAGTAAAAACAATATATATTTTGAAAGTGTCATCAACGATCATTGTAGCGACAGTCAGTGCAGTATCACGAAAAGGTCGTTGTGAAATCTAAACTCTCTTGAACACGAAAGTCGGCCATATACATCGATCATTTAAACTTTATGAGTGCTTATGAAGTCCAAGAAATGTATGCTTTTGGTCAATGTAAGAGATTACAGTATGCGGTGCCATTATTGGCTAATGTCAGTAAGCAGTGATGAATAGTAGTTTCTATTGAAGTGGAAAGTTACAAAACTATGAATTGTACTCTCTATGGTTATAGCAAAGAATAAGAGCACAGAACTACTCAAAATAAGATTAGCAAGTCCTACAATGATAAATAAAACTGTTCAGCAATGATAGGTGTAAATTTACCTTGCATAATGACTCTCTAATATCCACGGCATGGTTAAATACAAGTAAAGTTTCTTTATACAATATCATAAGAAGTTAATAATCTGAGAAAAACAAACTTCATAAGGAAGCTGGATCTAGAAAATGTTGATTCAAAATTAAAACATTTCAGGTGTCAAATATTGCTACAGGATGTTACATAATCCCATTAAATGGAAAATTACCATACATTTGACAGAAAGGAAAGGACACAGCAATATTACCTGAGAGCATAACAGTATATACTGTTGCAAAGCAGTGCTATTAAATAGAGGGCCCCAATTGGGTTTTTTGTTTATGAAAGCAAGACCAACATCTGGCAATTTCCCTGCATAAAATGTATTCTTCTGTCATATGGTGGAATAATTGTAATGGATCAGGCCAATCTATCATTATAAAGAAGAAATGAAATCAAGGAAGATGCAAATAATACAAACTTGTAAATAAAAGAGGGATGCAGGACTCCCAGGGTGAGAGCATTACTAATTATAAGAGCAAGAAATGAAATCACAAATGCCTGATGTACTTTAGTAGTACATATAAGAAATGTTAAAAAGCCATGACACATGCTGATATCTTGCTTTCCTCAAATTTGGAGAACTTCACCTTCAGCAAGAATATACGCACACTACCAACAATAACAGAAGTGTCTGGTTTACTAGATGACCATATATACACCAGTCATTTCACTTATGCTGAATTGCTTATGAATAAGAAGCTTTAAGACCTCAAGTAACATAATCAGTAAACACGGTAAAACGAATAAATTTGTGGTACAAGATCCCTAAACTTGTCATGCTTGTGGAAGTCACCAAGAACATCACTTGATAAGAGAGTTCAGTTCCACTAGAAAAAGAATGAGGCTATGGTTCAACATCTAATATCATCATTCATATACTAATTAAAAGATGTACCACTGTGATTTTGAACACCTTGTAGCATGGTGACTAATAATAAAAAACGTCCAACTGAACCCACGTCTTTTTAAGGAATGGAACATTCTAATATACGTGCAACATAGGGTACACAGTAAGTGCACCAGTTAGAAAATTATAGGATTATATTTAACATAGCAAGGAACACTAGGTGTAATCGAACTTGGATGAGGCAATTAACAAGATCATCATAGTGGTCACTTAACTGATCGAACTTAGATGAGGCAATTAACAAGATCATCACAGTGGTCACTTAACTGAGGAGATGCGCTTAAGGTAACTGAATTAGGGAAAAGATTAATGCACCCAATCCCAAAAAAGTTTGAGATAAAGGGTTTATTTTTGTGTTGTGCTGACACAGCCCTGTGTCTCCTACGTATCTGACATTCATACAAGCGAGATACTCAGATGAAATTTGGCAGATATATTTCCTGTCTACAATGTACTTTTTATATTTATATGTTTTTTAATGATATGAGTTGTGTGCTATGGTGCATAGGTTCCATGGTTCATATGATTTGGGTATTAGGAACTAAATTGTTGTTTTTGTGCATCTCTGAGCTTATATCATGTCATTGTCCTAATTCATACCAAAAACAAAGAGGCAATCGTATAAATTCTGTTGAATATTTCATAGGATTCTGAAGATTTTGCATCTTCATAGCTGTGCCTTACTGTGCCTCTAGCTGTGTCTGTACAACATAGATATATGGACACTTGAAAAAACCATCACACAAACAGCAAAAAATAAGGATTAATTAGGTTTCTGGAGAACATAACATGGTTTTGAATATCATTTGATATACCTTCAATTTGTTGATGAGAAGTACTACTTTGGCATAAATCATCATACAGACCAGGGCTATCTCCAGTATCAGCTGATCTAGAATTATTCGAACTCTTCATAGATAAACAGCTTCTGGGAACAAATGTTAGCTTTAACTGCTCATCCGCAATCGGCAATAATCTTTGCATTAAAGCAAGCACGCCTCCCTGAAGACATAAACGTTTTTTACCAGAGCTAAGAAGTTTCTAATGTAAAGAAAAGATGAGAAAGAAAATTACTTGCCAAAATGAATAGCAACCATCGACCAATTTATTTGTTCGTCCTTGAAATCCGCACTCCACACCTTGACGGAATGCCACCCAGTCCTGATAGCAATGTGTATTGGTGAAGCAACATCGAGGAAGGGGAAATTTTGAATATGGTTGAAAGAAAAAAAAAAGAACATGGTAAGCACATGAAATGCAACAATAGCAAATAGCACCCTGTAAAAATGAGAGGATCTAAACCAGTTAGGAATATCAACAAATACTAACTTATCACGCTACAAGTAACTGTGAATTATATTTATGTCTTTGTTTTGCAAAATAGTTTGAACATAAGTTAATCTAAGCTTCCTGTTAAAATTCAGAACTTAAAGTTTCAATGCTAGTAGTCATCGATAGCAATAAATAACGCCATGAATCATGAAAAAAGGAGTGTGATTTGTATAATAGAAGTAAACAACTATAAAAGAAATTCCAAACAACTTGAGTCACAACAGATTGTTGAGTGGATTCTTGAAGTGATGACACACTATTTTAGTTTGATATTCTGGCCCACAAAATTTTGCATACAAAAAGAATGACTAGTCTCTAAACTTCAAGCAGGTCATACAAAGAAAAGAATGAAGATATGACAACTTATGAACCCAGTAGATAATTGGGTCGGTTTTGGATGGTATACTTGCCTTGCTCAACCCAGCTAACTCATTTAACATGCAGCTTCAGATTGACATGTTCTCAGACCCAAACTCAACACCTTAACATACTAAATAAAGTAACAAACTTAAGCTCTAGCTTATGTTTCCCTAACGTTTATTAGCTGGGCCTTTTCATTAAGCAGGTTAGCAGGATAGGTACAGGTATCCACTTTTTTTACAGGTACAGGTATTGATGGTTGAGGGTACCTGACCCATTTATCAAATGTGTACTGTAAGTTTAGCTTCCTTGTATTGATGGTTGAGGGTACCTGACCCATTTATCAAATGTGTACTGTAAGTTTAGCTTCCTTGGCTCAGGTAAATTCTGGTTTTTACTTGAACCCTCCTAACCCAACTCCCATACCACCCCTATTTATACCAAGATTGATGTAGCTCAACCAGCTATTGTCATTAAGCTACTTTGGTTTTCCAGCATCTAATCCTTATTTAACATCACTACATCTCACTTATTTCAGCATGCAATAGAATTATGTCTATCATATCTTTGTAATAAAAAAACAGAAGTTAACATGAATGTTTTTTTTATAGTGTAATCCTCATTTCAAGAGCAGAAGAATACTTTACCACCAATACAAAGCAATAAAACTATAGCAAGATCATTTGAAAAGATTCCATAGCATTAGACTAGGATATATGTGCTGCCTGGGCCATGAGGCCCATAACTAACAGTTTATGAACTAAGTCAAATTCAAGAATGAGTACAACTTCAGTATGTCAAAAATAAAGCAATCTGGAAATTACTCAGAATCAGAAAATAAGAAGACGACGAAGAAGAGACTTACAAGCAGTCTAGGCAAATCCAACCTATCAACCTCGTTTATTAATATCATTGTGGCCAACCCACAAAATGTGTACCTTCAAAAAGAACAGGAAGGACATTGCAAAATAGGGTAAGCACCTTAATTATCTAGAAATCATGTAGTCAACAAGCTAGAGAACTGATATTTCCATCGACATATACGATAATCATGTGGCTAGCTACAGCAAACATACCCACCATGAGCTTCAGAACCCGGTTCTCCAGCAATACCACCTTCATATGTTTGACATCTATGATGAGAAGTTGTTTTACAACAAAGTATCAGTTCGATTATCAAGAGAACAGCTGAATAAAGGGAAACATAAACAATAAATACTAATCAGTTTTTATGTTAATGTCGGAAGGACTTGATTTGTTGTGATCAACATCTCTCCAGTCTCTACAATAAATAGACAAATTTCTGATGCCAACTTGATGACTGATTAGACATCCCTATACCTTCACGCTTTGTATTTAAACAAAACCACATTTTCTGTTATAGATATATTGTAAGCGTAAATCCTTATCTTCCTATAATATCACATAGGGGCACAGTTCTGATTCAAATTCATCAAATCCATAATTGATATTTAGATATCAATCACATGCTTGTAATCTGTTGGCTAAGGTAGTATACTTTTTCCTACTCTTTTCAAATTCATAGAATTTTGGAAAAGTGATGCTTAGTTACTTGAATCAAAAAGGTATCTTTACCAACACGACAGCTACCAATCAAGGTTTAAGAAAGAATGCAGTAGCTAATAATGGCTTTGCCGATGACATGTCACCAGTAAGAAGAGGGTTAATATAATGTTGAAATTCATAAAATTTGGAAAAGTGATGCTTAGTTACATGATTCAAAAGGTAGCCTTACCAGCTCAACAAGCATCAATCAAAATTTTAGAAAGAACACACTAGCTCATAATGGCTTCGCCGAAAACTTTGCACCGAAAAGTAGAGGGTTAATATCATGTTTGAAATTATTTTTACGTAGCTTCCTTGATGTTCAACTAGCTTATAATGGTTGTGCTTATGCAGTATATACTACATTTCCACTGACTAATGTGGTGAGGACATTTCAAATTGAACGCGTCTTGTTGGAACAATGAAAGAGTGCCTTCAAATCATCAGAAAAAAATTTACAACTAGATTTTGGATATTAGGTAATAAGAGAAAGAACCAAGCTAAGTAGGTTGTGGTAAAGGTAAGGAAATACAAATTCAAACTAGTGTTAATTAACTCTTGCTAAATATAGGAAAATTTAAACATGGGAAGATTTTTTCAAATCATAAAAGTTAGGAATGTCAGATGCTATAGCGAACCGTGACCCAGGTTCAATCGTTCCACATTCACATGAAGCACGACCCAATTCACCAACTCCAGTGACCCGACTTAAAATTCGAACCAGTTAAAATTTTGGGAAAAATAACTATTTTTTAAAAGAATAATTGCAACATGATTCTTAAGGTTCTTTTATCATTACTGACTCTTGCAAAACCTCTACTTCCTATATTTAAGAACTGAACCTAAAGTGTACACGCTTCCTGGACACCGTATAAGCCTACCCCCCATCATACCCAACTCCTAATGAGTGGTGTACCACGCTCCCGTGCCCCTCCCATGAACCGGAAGGAACCGGGATCCATGCTACTATGTTTGAAAATTATTGACAAAACAATGCCTATAAATCAATTAATAGTTTTCATTTATTATGTAACACTTGCGAAAAAGAAATGATAATTAATTTCTAGCATACAAGCCGGAGAATTTAGTTTAGCAATGGCCCATGGAATCATTTTTAATCTTATGATGACCATATTTGTGGCAAGCCATAATTCCTTCTAAACATATTCTCAAGAAACACGATATTTGGAAACCAGAAAGTAAAGAACTTCATCAAAACTTGTAGGGTCAGCCAAATGATTCCTTATTCTAACTTTTCTCAGTAGCATTATTAGCATTTCCATCCATGTTAAGGCATGATTCTCGCCCTAGTAACTAACCTTTTAAGTCAGACAAGTTCTACCAAAATTCATACATCACAAGACCGATGAAGAATAAACCATGCAACAGTCCAGTGTCACTGTGCAAGCTATAATGATTGATTTAACAGAGTTTGATATGTGGTTGGTTTCTTACGGACACCAAAAAAATTGTTTTTCAAGTGTTGTGAGAGTATTATAGTGGGAGTGAGTTTCTAGTCTTAAATTTTCCTGCAGTAGAAAATAGTTTTGGTCCCTTATTTGTCCTCTTTGAGCTTCATGTGGAATTGTCATCACACAGGCTTATAAGCTAAAATTTACACTTCGGTGGTAAAAGCTAATATTCCTCTATTCTATTAAAAACTTTGCAAATTCCAAGCCCATGTTGGAACCCTTTAGACTTCAAGTTAAATCATAAATTATGACGCGTTCCACATTCAAGTTATACAAAGGATTAATTGTTACTGACATATATCCACTATTTACAATGGAATTTTTACATGAAAACCATCTTAACTTTTATCCAAATTAGTACTTACCACCTTTAATTATTTATTTATTAAATAACCACCTACGTTTGCTTATGCGTTTGCAATGTCACACTTTATGGTATTTTCTATTTTCAAAAAAAACCTAAATTCATTATACCCTCCAATCCAACTTGAGAGAGGGAAGGAGAGAAGGAGAGGAAGAGGAGAAGGGAGGGAAATTGCCTGTGATGGGCCAGTTGTGGAAGAGTGGGGAGGGGAGGATGTAACAGTGAGAATGGAGAGGGAGGAGGGGAGGAAGGTGGAGAGGATGGAGGAAGAGAAGGGGAAAGAGGGAGGGAGGTAGAGGACGGGGGAGAGGGTGGAGGTCGAGGACGGGGAGGAGGAGAGGGGAGGGAAGTAAGGAGGTAGAGAGAGGAGAGGGGTAAAATGAGTAGTTCTGATTTTTTTAGCTGAATAGTGGTTAAGTGTGATATTACAAACATGTAAGCAAATGTAGGTGGTTTTGATGAAAAAAATAAATATAGGCAATAAGTACTAATTTGGACAAAAGTTAAGATGGTTTTCATGTAAAAACCCTTTACAATACTGTGAGTGGGTAGTTATCAACATTTGGTTTTATGTGGTATGCGTTAAAACCATTTTCATGCTTCATGTAAATCCTTATATATAAACTAATTAGTCATTAAACATGTTCCTTGTGCGTACACTAAAAGTTTCAAATTAGCAAAAAGAAAAGAAACAGGAGAAGCTATATCCTTGTCAAGACATACAAGAATCACATTTGAAAAAAGAAATAATTTGAAGCACGAACCTTACGATGTAACTTCCAACATCTTTCACAAGCTCATAATCCAAAATGTTCAAGATACTTGCAACCTAATTGCAATGGAAAATTTTGCTTATAGTAAGAACACGAGCACGTATCAAATGGAAAGAAATAGAGTTTGAATGCAACAAAGAATGCCACTGAAAATTGTATCATTGAATCATCCATAACCATCATGTATCCAATTGACTCAAGTAAAGACGTTGTTCGTGAAATTCTTAAGCTAATGTTCAGCTTATAAGACTTATTAAAAACTTAACAAGCTGAATACATCTTAGAAGAATGATATACTAATGATTCTACTAGCATAAACCAAATCTAGACAAAGCATATGTATATACACCTTTCAGACGTTCTCACTTTTGGTAAACTTGCTCCTAGGGCAAAGGTACTGATGTTTACCCATTTTCCAGAATTCTGGACTCCAATCAAAATTAAGACGCAAGTTGAAAACAATCAATAAATTCTTTAAAGAAAAACACAAGTTATTCTCATATATAAGTTCTAAATGTACAGTATTTAATGCTTACCTAGGAAACAACAAACATAGAGAGAAATGACATGCAGCCAAGAGGCCTAAATGAAATGATTGATGATACATTTGCATTATAGTTATCACGGATTAATGTCTGCCATAAAAAATGCTTATTCTACAAGGAACAATGTGCATTCATATATACACAAGGACCTAATTCCCTTTATCTGTTCCGATGAAGTACACTTACACTAGCAATTTGCTTACACCTTGAACAATACTAATTATCTTATATGTATTTATTTCCCTCAAACTGCTTATGATTCTTTTTCCCTTGGTAACAAAACTGGTCTTCCTACATCAAGCTATCTTGCTCTTGTCCTCACCCCTCCCGCTATAAAAACACAGGAGGAACTCCACTAAACTTCCAAAATAAACAAACAAATAAATAATAGGTTACTTTAGAATTTTCTGTACACCTCTATCAGTTTCTTTGAATTCTCAAGTCTTTTCTTCCATCTATAACAATATGTTCCCAATTTATTGTCGATATATATTATGCTAATTTAGGGCATAGGTTCTCTTCTCTCACATCATCATCGAGATTTGATTTTCTTCCAAAATAGGAAAAATGTAGAATGCAATAGTATTTTATTCAGATACATTTTCTTTTAGATAAGTGGATAATATATTCTCAAAATTTTCTTTTTACTATTAGAAATACATTTCTGCCACTATTAACTCAGTTCTTCATGCTGTCCAAAATTCTCCTTTTGAGTATCCAAAATCCTTAAATTTTTAGAGGTAAATATTCACTTTACTATAGAATTTTTTCTTACAAGATCTAACTTACTATGTTTTGATTAGATGAAGAAACCGGATAGAGAAGAAGAGATGAATTAGTTCTTGCTTAAATAGAAGGAAATAGAAGCGAACATGGGGGTTCTTTTTAAAATAAGTTTAAACGTCCAGAAACAATGTGTGATAGTCATGTTGTAATACCCCTATCAATCGGATGTAATAAAAAAAGGGAGGTTTTGGATCATGTATAAGTGGGAGGTAATTAGTGTTTTGCTACTGGCAGTGGAATGGAGAGTCAGGGGGCACGTGTTTTGCAGTTAGGGATCAAGGGAACTGAGGAGCTTAGGTGTAGGCTGTAGGATATACAGATAAAAGGATGAGTTGTCACCAATTGAGAACTTTGATGTATACCTAAATATATATATGCCTTCTAGGTAAGCTGCAGATAGATTAGATCAAACTGTATCAAGTGGAAAACAAGAATAAAAGGAAGAGAGATGGGAGGAGTGGTGTAACTGACGGGGAAATGCACATGAGCTTAGAACAAAATTGGTAGGCTAAATTAAGTATTCTATCCCTTCTTGGATTTTAGGGTAATTTGAATTGTGATGTTAATTCTTGTATAAGTTTATATCTTGCAGTAACCTGTTAATTCTTTTAGCAGCATCTTCCAGTTGATTTCAAGTCCTAGGTGCTTATCTCACTATCTCATATGAAGTAAATGTGATGTTTAAATACATAGCTTTATGGTCTATGCTTGCATTAAGCCATTTAAAAATGATTGCAGCTATACTTTAATTGGAAAACAAAGCAACCTAGTCACTGTTTTACGATCAGAGAATCTATAGGAGCTGGTTGATTAAGTATGACTGTTTGCTGAATATTTCGCAGCTTTACAAGTATAGCATGTCCAATAACTATTGGGGATACTTGGAAATTTGTAGCTACAGCTCTGCATCCTCATGTGAAAGTACGAGATTATAAAGTATAGTTAATTATAAGGAACACATAGACCGTTTTTTCACCTGAATAAGCAGAGATAAATAATTAAGAACATGAATAGGTGCACGAACAAGCTTGATTAAGCTAAGCTACAAAGAAAATGTAGTAAAATAATTGAAAGTCATATAGCGTGTGGATTGCCTCATTTCCCTGTAGCATGTTAGGCGTTGAGAAAATAAAGTTAAAAGATACTAATGATAAGGTGTTGAATAATTTAATAGTCATAAGTGCAAGCATAAATGATGCTTTCCAAGTTTCCAAGTTAATAATGGATATCCAAGAACTTAAGGATTAATTAAGAATATAATGGTATACAGAGATATCCACACAAGTATTGTATTAAAAGATATACTAAACAATTTTGAAGAAATCACTGTTGATATATAACTGTAGAACAAAGCCTCTAGCCATTGCGTATTATTGTTACTGTTACTGGACCCATCGGTGTAGTTATACTGATTGAGAAGCTTTGGCCAAGCGAAGACTACTGAACCCCTGAGTTAATATTGAACCACTCGAAGACGATGGAATGGTATTTGGTATTTTACTGACTCTTTGGAGACGTTCAAGGAGGTTTAACTGGCTCCTATAGAGACGTGCGTGGAGAATACTGGACTCATGGGGATTACTAAACCATTATTGTACTGTATTGTTAGTATACCTGTCATGAATCACTGTGAATCTAATACGTTCTCCTAACTGGACAAGTTAATTGCCGACTGTACATCTCTGAATATCTTGTTAAATGGTGTTCGTTGTTCCAAGGAAGGTTTCCTTTTAAGCTATCTCTTACTCGAATTATCCTATCACAAGCAATAATATGATATGATTTTGGGTAAACCTAGAATTAAGAAGTGGTTGGATTACTCATTAAGTTGTAGCACTCATATGTTCAATTGTAATATTTTTTCAGAGTAAAGTTGGATATAGATCATAAGCGGGAGATCAAGATGAGAAGGCAAGTCGTGCTAAGCAACCATGTCCCTATGTAATAGATATTTGTCTATATGCTTATATATGTTTGTATGACAGTTAAATAAATAGGGTTGTGAGAATCATTATGTAGCAAGTGTGCTTCATATTTACTAGTTAAATGTCTATAGAAAATTGGACAGTTATGATTTTCTGAATTATCCGATTAAGATCTTCAGTATTGGACCTTATTATAACTCGTAACGAAAATGATGAAGGACTTTTGAATCACTACTCTGAAATCGATGAACTAAATTTTTGGTGACTGACTGCACTATGTCGCGCAACCCCGAGGTTTAAACCATTATTAAATCTTGAGGACGTGACGCATGTAATCAAATTCAACAGCAATTTCAATAGTCACATAACTGAAGCCTGAAGGTACCAAAATGTAAGGTGGATGAAACATATATCATTTTGCTAAATTTAAACTTAAGAATATTAAAGTTAAAATGAAACATTAGTGTTTGAACTTGAAAATAACCCTAATTCTTATTCGAAATTCCTTGATTTCCACTGAAGAACAAGAGTAAGATGACTTTCAGATTTTTCTTTCCTTTTCTTTTTTTCCTTCTCTCTTTCTCCTTTTCTTCTTGCTATTGCTATTAAGTCACTTGAACGGACCTAGTTCCTTTTAATGCTGCCCTTCACCTTTAATCCCCTTTCTTTTTGAGATAGATACTGTAGAAATTATTAGTTTAACTAAACAAATCTCTTGTTTACTTAAGTGCTGAAAAACCATGACTCAGCATTTACATTAAACGCTCATACCAACTGATGCAAGGAACTGCCATTGACTATCATTGCAGCTGAATGAGAAAGTAATATGCGACTTTATGAGAAGTTATGGCCATCTATCATAATGCATCCCCATGAGATTCATGTCTATCACATATATTTGACTCAGAAACTTCTTATTTAATAAAAAATATTTAATAAAATCTATATCTATTGACTGGAACAAACTTAAACATGATCCATTTCGGGAAGAGTCTGGAAGAAACTTAAACAGCAAGAAGTGTTAGACCTAACTGATATGAAAGTCGATACTCAAAACAAACAAGCTTAGATATGATCCAGTGGGAAGGTCTAATTGCCATAAAATTAAAAGCCCAGTTACATAATATGCATCTAGAAAATCAACTTCTTTGGATAGCTTTGTCTAAAAGGGTTAAATTTAACTTTCGAAAACCCCTCAGTTTTCCTGGTGTTGCAGATAGACTCAGTCAACTCTTAAAATATGACTTAATTGTTGGGAACATGTTCATGCAATTGACTCAATTTGATCAGTGACAAACATTCATAATGTCTAAGGAGTTTTGAAGTTGTATTGTGCAGGTTATAAGATTATGCAAAGCTGTGAGCATGTTTTCAGGTGGTTGAACAAGACTCCAGCTTGGCTAGAAGCAACATCAGATGGCTGTTCATCTGGAGCAGGTGGTTGATACTGCATAACAGAGGGGTGTCTTGGAGAAAATTTAACAGGGTCGATTGTTATATCAACCAAGCCGCTTATGATAGGGGGCTGAAATGAAGGGCAACCGGCTAAAATGAGTTTGGCAGAAGCACTATTTGTGGAAATTCAATTACAGTGTTGGCTGGATTTTAAATCAGCCAGGTCAGTTGATTTCAACCAGCTGGGCCAAGCTTTCCAGTCAGCTAGTCAACGGTTTGCACTGAATTATTGTTTTGTTATCTGAGATGCAAACTGGACCTTTCTTTGAGGTATCTAAGTATACATCTCCAGGGTTATTTTCCCATAGAATAAGAAAAGAGAAATGTCAAGATTAGGAAAGTCCAATTGGGAGAGAAAAGGGGAGAAGCTCTTCTAGGATTTGAAGGAGAATTCACTGTCGCCTCTCAGAGTCTTTGTTGCATTCTCGGAGCGGGCTATATAAATTGATTTGTTCTTCATGAAGTGCAGCCAGCCCTAGCATCAAATCCTTGTCATTCTTCCAAATCATCAATAAAAATCTTTTGAAAAATTAGTTTGATTTATAAAAGGGTTGTAAGATCTTTCTTTTGTGTCTAATTAATTTTGAGTTTTTTAAAGCACTTCTTATTATGATCATATGATCAGTTTTTATTTGAAGTCGTACTCAAGCTGAGATGAATTGATGAAGAGGATTACTAGCTAGAGCTAGGGTTACACCGCTGTGATAGGCCGTTGGCAGAGACAACCACATTAAGGTTAGTCTAGCCATCTAGGGTGTGGTCTTGTAATTGCTTACCGGATTGGATTTATGATCTAGATGAACCTTCACATATAATGCAAAAGCCCCTGTTGATGACGAAGAAGAGTAGATGTATGAATTCTATCTGAACCACTATAAAATCCTTATGTTCATAATTGCTCTGAGGTTGCTCGTTTTATTTTATTTATTTCCATTGTTATATCTAAAATATTTTAATCTTTATATTTATGAAAAAAAGAGTATCAATCATATTCAATCCCCCTCTAGGCTTGAATCTAGATCTCAACATTAACCCCTTAAACTATGAGGTGTCTAACAAAACCCCTTCACCTTTACAGTTTTCTGAAATAACCTACCATTATCAATTTAAAAGTGTAGTGACTAAAACACCCTTGTTTTTGATAAAACGGATATGAGTTGAAAAAACTAAATGAAGTTAAAGCAATCACAAATATTCTATTTATGGAAGAATCCACAATTATTAGTCTTGAATTGAATGGATTTTGAACTTTTGATGAGGAGACATTACATCTTGAAGAAACCTCAAAATTTCATTTTTTTTTCAAACATTAGAAGTATGAATAAGTACGAAACAAAAGAAGCTTGAAGTCTCAAAAAAAAGAAAAATTAATTTAGGTCAAAACTAAGACCTGGCAATGGCAATAAAGGAAGAAAAGGGGGGGGGAAATACAAGGGGAGGTACTTTAACAAAAAATTCAAAAGAGACAATATGGCAAATTCTTAATCTCTTCAGGGTAGTATGGTCATTTTAAACCACATGCTTTTTACATGTTCTGTTAGAGTTAACGGTGTTAGTTCAAAGAGTTTAGTGAGAAAAGGTGAGCGGTGTTAAGCCTAAATTTGAAAGTTCAAGAGAGTTGGTTTATCGCAAGACAGAACCATTAAAATTTGGGGGGGGGGGGGAAGGGGGGGGAGAGGGCCTTTGCCTTCTAGTGCCTAAAAAGAAATAAATATTGAGCGGGAGTTTTTTGAGACAATCCTTATAGTTGAGGGGGGTTCTAAAATTAACCCTTTTTAAAAGTAAGCACCCTTTTGAGTATTGCTCAAATGAACCGGTTTTGTTTCCATATTTTTTTAGATTTTTTCTTTTTTCTATTTAATTATAGCACTACGATATAGGATTGTAAAGCAAGTACAAATGTTAATCATAACAGTTTTGTAATGACCTGAACTTTATTATAGTGATTATGATCTAGATGATGAATAATATGCTCTTGCAATAATTATTCGCAAATACAAAGAACGATTGGTACAATACTGAAGACAAAAAAGGAGGTGCAAATATGGAAAAGATTACGGAAACATATATTATAGAATGGAAATGAGTTGATTTGACCATATATTATTAATGAGAATGACAGTTCTAAAAGATTAAGGATGATGTGGCATGAGGTGGAAGTGAAGTTAGCATGAAGGAAAGAGAGAGATATGTGGCTTGACTAAGTAGGAGGTGGAGGTTGAGGTGTCATGAAGTAAAGGATAAGCCTGTGGAGTCAAAGGGAGATGGAGAGGAGCTCTCTTGATTCCCTCTTGGTGAACCAGCGAGAAAGAGAAGAAAAAGAAAAGAAATGAGATCAGAGGAAAGGAGCAGCAAGATAAGTTAAATGGGGAAAAAAAGAAAGGAAGAAAATAAAACGGAAGAGCAGCAAGACAAATAAAGTGACAAGAAAAGTAGTATAGTAGAAAAGGAAAGGAAGAGAAGCAAAACAAGAAGTGAGAGGAAATGAGAAGGACAAACAACGATTTATGTAAGGTAAATCTCAAAGTACTCTCTTAATTTTAGAACTACATGTATTAGGCTCTCTCAATTGATGTTCGGGTTTAAGTGTAATCGAACATTCTTGAAGGATACTATTTATTGTATTGACAAGAAGTTAACGGATTAAATTAGATGGTGATGTTCACATATGTTGTTACTAGGATAGCCATGGGAATGGGTTCCGCTGCAGAAGGCAACAATAGCTTAGTAGGAGGGGGTGAAATTACTTTCAGACCTTGGATTTACTAAATACTCTCTTTTTTAGTCCATCTTTTTTACCAAGTAACATTTGAAAATAGCATTTGAAATCATGTAATAAAGAGAAACACTATCCTTGTATAGTTTGGAGATATTATGATGACCCTGAAGTAGAGATATTTTAGCTTAAAGTAGAAATTACAAAGGTCCCTGCATGGTTCAGAAATTACAAATATACCCTGCAGTTTTCAGAAATAAAAAAAATACCCCCTGCAGTTTTCAGAATTTACAGAAATGCCCCTATGAAAATTAAACTAGTTTTAGAACTTCAAACATTTCTATGAAGTATGTAAAGATGTTGACTACCGCTATAAGACATTTTGAAAGATCCTACACTAGGATCGCTCAACTTGAGAATGCAATTAAGTAGTGTATGGGTAATTGAAGATTAATATTTGATACTTGTTTGTATTAGGAAAATCTATAAGAGTTAGAAGTAACTCCTGAAGAGCCATGAGGAACTTGAAGTTACGAAAGAGCCATGTAAGTGGGGTTACATATTCTTTAATTAATGATTTTCTCATTGTTTGCTTACAAATGTTTACATTTTGACGAGCAAGCATGAACCTCATGTGAAAAGTATGTTTTTAGATATTTCATGATTGCTGGAAGCATGAGTTATTGTTTGTCAAATTTATCATGTAGGGATATTTGGTTTTGTCGTTGTAGTAGGCCATACATAACAAGTGGATTTTGTCAAAAGATATTTGAATCATATTGAAGCATATTTTGCAGTATTCACTAGTAATTGTGTATAGTGTACACCAAAATTTTAAGCAAGTCACAGGCCCATCAAGGAAGTAGGGTGTTATAATGAGCAGATCACCGTTGTAGACGAAATTAAGCAAGTCACAGGCATAGGAAGGGAGTAGAGTGTTATAACGAGCAAATCGCAGCTATAGAAAGTTCGGGCCATACAAATCGCCACTGTAGGTAGTCTGGTTGAGACATGAGTAAAAGGCAGAGAGCACGATAGGCAACGTTTCTAGGCAGATGGCTGCTCTAGGAAATCTAGCTGGCAAGACAGTTTGTAACTTTGCATAATTTCTATGCATGAAGATTGTCAACCATGTTGCGTATTTATCATAAACTCCTTATTTGGATAGTATTTTGCCATATGCGTGCTTCATTTACATAAATTGTTGAATTGCTAAGCCACTTACTAAGCACATGGAAAGCTCACCTCGAATATAAATAACATTTTTCATATTAGTGTGGCTTGAATGTCAAGTCCAAGAGGGTGAACCAGATCGGTTGCTACAAATACTCTGATGATGTGGTAAGGAGCTTTTTGGATTTAATACGTATTGTAGGTTTGGATTTGAATAGAAAAGTCTTTCTTCATGGATCATAAATATGGAAATACAAATTTATTGGAATTTTGGAATTACGATTCGCAGGTCCTCTTTGTAAGAGGATTTGTGGCCGACTATCACATGCCAGCCTTGATCTTATTATCATTCACATTAATATCTATGTTGTTTCGGGGCGTGACAGTTTTACCATAGAAGTTCAGCTTGCCTATCCTTGCCAATTTTAACCTTACATGGATATTGATGGCTTTGAAATTAGATACATATCTTCCATTTGTAACGAAAAAGATACTATTTAATAACGGATGCAGCAATGAACAGTTGCAACCTGCCTTGGTACCATCAAAAGCAACTTCGCTGCTTGAAATGTTATGCTCTATGTATGCAAGCAATTATGTAAGAATCTTAAATTCAGTAAGCATGAAATAAACAGCTCGAGTTTGTGAAGATGCCTGGGTAGATGTATGAAAACAACATGATAACCAAGGGGGCATACAGGAATATAACATGTTCAAGAAATCATGTCACTTGGAATTATGGTCATTGAAATAACTGATTCACAACAACTATTATGATATACACATACAAACTCCTGGATTATAATCACAGTACTTCTATCAAGCAATAATATGTCGTAAAGTAACAACTCGAAAATAAGAAGATCTATGAAAATTTTAACTACTAGATGCATGCATGCTAGAAGTCTCAATCTGTTTGATTTCTAACCAAAACAATATAAGGGGGACAGGTGGCTGTTGTAAATCATCAATTTAGACAGCTATTTACACCATTCAAATGTCGCATGCATATATTTTCCATCACTTACGCCCAAATACAAGAATCCTGTATCTTTCTTCCAATTTGTTGCATCTCGATAAGAAACAAAATCCAAACTTAGATGCTACAGATATATAAACAACTAGAAAGCATGAATTTTATCTCAAGAATCCATTCGATCACATGAAGAGGAACATAAAGAGCTTTCACATGTTGCTTCACTAATGAAGATAAAGTATAAGAAGCAAAGTGATCAGAACGTTGAAAATAACTCACAGAAATTGCTGTATAGCATGCCCTTACATCCATTTCACCTGCGTCATGCATTCTAGTGGATAAAGAAAATGAAATGGGATTATTATCACTGGATACGGTTGTGAGGATTGAATATAAAAATGACCAGTAAGAAAGTGAATGAACAGTTATCCAATGTTTTTTGAATAAATATATGTTACCCATAACACATCAGAAATTTAAACCTGGTTTAAATTTTTGATGAAAACTTACATAAACTACTCTAGCGACTCACTTGATACCTTAATCCTGAACAGGTAACGTATGCGTAGGAATTCATCCGCTAATTTTATTCTAATACGGGATTTTCTGGGACCTACCCTGTTGAGCATCTACATCTGTATCAGATGTTAGTTGCCTTGCTTGGCCGGAAGAATAGCAAACATGACGTCAATGCATTAGTAGTTAAGGCCAAAAGATTCATTGCATAATTATATGGCAAAGCGTGTACTTAATGGCGTTTGATTGTTAAGCTGGAGCAGTTTACTTGCTCAAGTAATATATGAAGTATTTAATATGCTCCATTAGTATAGCTGAGGCTTCATATATTAAAGTATAAAGGTTCTCTAGCTAGGTTCATGCTATTGCAAAGTCACATTTCCTTATCACAAATATGTGTGTAGATATTTTTATCATGGGCAGATAGACAAGAAATAACATATACCTGAAGGCTCCTGATGGATCTTTCATTTGTGACAAAAACTTGTACATCTTATCTCTGAGAACAAAGGAGAAAATACTCACATTAAGTACACATATTCATAGACATTAAGCAGTAACAAAATAATTGGACTCTGTAAGAACTTGTTACCTGTTTATTGATGATAATGCCCACATGCTTCCCAAAGTAATAAGTGAATTCACTGCAGCATATGTTGTTGCAAGATGAGCCATCTAACAAAGATATGAATGTTAATAACTGGTAATATAAAAAGAAATGTATACTTTCTGGTAATATAATAAGACTAGCATCTCAACAAGCTGGAAACTACCAAATTATGCTAAACAATTTTCCGCAAGTACTATAATCCGTACATTTTTTTATTATACTGTCTGACGTTTCTTTCACAGCAGATGCATTATATTGCTATCTCCTTTTGACTGATATTCTCACCTTACCAGCAGCACATCTACTGCTTTTAGCTAGTAACTTCTATTTTATCCATAGATCAAATTTTGGGATAATGTGAATCTAAACCAGTATAATTATCTTCACATATATTAAAGCAGAAGACTGTTCCTTTCACAAGCAAAAAGTTGATAGAGTTCAATTATATATTACTAGGCTGTTCAGTGTGCTATTCACATCTCATAAATAAGCATCCCTCTGATTGAAGCTAGTAACCTTAGTCTTAGCCTTGATAATTATTGCCTATGATTGAGATGAAAGATAAGAAAAATCACAGCACAAAAAATGGGGAATTAATTTGTACAACTTAAGCAAGGGAAGCAACCTAGTAACATTTTTCCGCTTGTGTATTAAACATGTGTTCATATGATCTTAAAAGTAAGAAATTCAAGGACAAGATTTTGAGTGTCAAAGACAAGCGCAAGCATCTGTGTTTGAGTAACCAAAGCAAGAGTAGCAACTTAGTGAATTGTATGCTCCTGTGAATTGCTCATAAATCTTGGTACTTTGCCTATTTTAATAGAAAGCTTCCTTGGATAATAGCAAGTTCAAAAGAGTAAATTGCTGCCCTTAGTAAGTCCCACCTCAGATTGTGGTTCTGGTCAAGGTGACAACTGTTTGATAGCATATATTGCTGGTTTGGTGATCTACAGTGATATGTCAAATGTTGTAGGTCTGTTTTTGCTTCTTTCCTTGCCTTTTTTTTATCACCCTTTCTTTTATAATGGTGTGTTTGGGAGTCTACTTAGGAAATGGAAGGAAGGCGAAAAATTCCCCTTCCTTCCCTTCCCCTCAATTACACCCCAATTTGGGGTGTAAGAATTTGGGCCAAATTTCCCCTCCATTCCCCTCCTCTACCCTCCTAAATGAAACTCCCAAACAGGCCATTAAATTCCCTTCACCTAAGCTTTTTTTTTTTCCTCTCCTTTTTCCTCTATGATTTTCCACCAACTTTGTAGGGAGGGAACGGAAGCAAAGCAGCAAGGGAAGACTCATGGTCTAGGCATTTAGCAGCCAAAAGCATATGGGTTTCTTGAACAATAAAAAAATAATAGAAAGCATAAAAACAGAAAAATAAGTGATGTGAAATGTGAGTAATTAATAAATTTACTTTGGAAATTAACACTCAAATCTTAGACGCAATTAAAACCAATGGAGGATGATAATACAAAGAGCTTGAAAATCTTTTAAATTTGAAACATGGGCTAAAAAGCCCACAGAGTAAACAGTAAAACCAATTTCTGTGTAAGAATTTGGGCCAAATTTCCCCTCCATTCCCCTCCTCTACCCTCCTAAATGAAACTCCCAAACAGGCCATTAAATTCCCTTCACCTAAGCTTTTTTTTTTTCCTCTCCTTTTTCCTCTATGATTTTCCACCAACTTTGTAGGGAGGGAACGGAAGCAAAGCAGCAAGGGAAGACTCATGGTCTAGGCATTTAGCAGCCAAAAGCATATGGGTTTCTTGAACAATAAAAAAATAATAGAAAGCATAAAAACAGAAAAATAAGTGATGTGAAATGTGAGTAATTAATAAATTTACTTTGGAAATTAACACTCAAATCTTAGACGCAATTAAAACCAATGGAGGATGATAATACAAAGAGCTTGAAAATCTTTTAAATTTGAAACATGGGCTAAAAAGCCCACAGAGTAAACAGTAAAACCAATTTCTAAAGTAACAACAGAATAGCTTATTGGAACAAACCTGCCCTGGTCCACCACCATATCCACCATCTTCTGCCTGCAAGTTCACAACAAAAACAATTTATTATATAGCGTGCAAATAAAATGCAATAGACTTGTCTCACATTTCAACCTCACCATGACACTTAGTCAGTGTCATACAAATGATAAAAGATGCAATCTAATAGAGATAGAAATGAATAGATAGTTAAGTTTGAATGTTGTTCAGCGTACAAGATCCATCACCACTAAAGGCCATAACTTAGAATCCCACCAAGTTATGGGTACAAATGTATCAATTCAAGGTCCTTTGGATCAATCAAAGTCAAATATGAGAAAAGAGTAAGTGGAATTAACTAGCCCACCGCAGCAACCTTTGGTGTTTATTTGATGACGGTTCTTTTTTCTTGATATGTACACTTAAGGATTGACCTATAAAAGCTATTTATTTCTCTCTGCCATGTTTCTATTATTTTCTCATATATGAAGTTACATTATACTTAATTTTGAAGAAATCCCAGCAATATTTTTCTTCGGCATAGTTCCTAGGTCCATAATTCTATTTTCATTTTTTAACTGGGAAACACCCAACTCAATATTCTCATCTAAATTTCATACAAGCCAAGAATCTGACAGACAATGAACCAAGTTCCAGTTCCAGAAAAAAACAAAGCATCCTCTAACTTACCTTACAATGCCTAAGCACTATAAACTGATAACAGAATTAACTTTTTTGAAACCCTAAACATGAACCCATATGCTCAACTGGACTCTAAAGAATACAAGAAAACCAGTATCACAAATTAATGATAAAAATGTTCTTCATAATTTTCCTCCTTTAGCCCTTTTCCATCCATAAGTTAGTTCAGCAACACAACAAACTGACCTAGGGGTTAATTTTAGGAGAACACGTAACCAATGTCATGATCGTCTAAGAAGAAAAACATGGTACAACATAAATCACCACAGTCCAAAGAACGGCTTTCCTAACTCATTTGCCAACACACATACGAATACACCAACACTGTTTTCTCTTGACTAATCATCCAATCCACTCAACTTCTATCACTAAAACAAGCATAAAGAAAGCAAGTTCGCTTTTCCAATTTCGAAGAGTTATTACACCACAAGGAATAATTTCAAAGATTAACCTAACATTTTGGGTATATTTATCAACAAATTAGCATTGTTAGGTTGCCTAATTCAGGCTCTTGCTCTCCCATTTTCTTCCCTCTCATATTATTATTGGTTCAAGAGATCTACTCTACTTAATTTTAAACAACCTCCCAACAAAATTTTAGCAAGTTGCTTCAAGACCTTCTTGCTGGAAATTCATCCTGGCACAGAAGTATCAATACCAACTAGTTGAATCATTTTTCTTCAATATTTTATTCCTACAAGCCATGTGATGCCTACCCACTTTCTCTTAGGATAACATACTTTGTTAGCCTGAAACTTCAAAAATAATAGTTTGCTAGAAATCAAGAGAAACAGAATGCAATAGAAGTTCAAATATTTGTACGCTAAACCTTGATTTCTCTCTGAACATGACCCAATATTCAGTATTCACATAATAAATGAAGTTGAAGTTGAAGTTGAAATCTAAATGTTCTCACAAACTGTTCTCATGGTTTTAGCTACATCAGCTAACTGTTCTCACAGACTGTTATTATGAACACCAAGCTTGAAAGGCAATACTTCAACACCCTGTCATGTTAACATGGGCAGATTCTATAATATTTAGCAGGTCTATGCTGCTTAATATTTTATCCTTTAATATATTAAAGACAAAAGAAATACAAAGATACAAAATGTAAAGACTTCTAGAAAACAAAATTATATAGCAGAAAAATTCAACAAAAATAGAAGCAAATATGCACCTCACATCGTAACAAGAAGTCCACAGCTGCGTTCTCGAACTCCAAGTCCAAGGGCTCTCCTAATAAAGCAAGGGAATGAAGAATCCAATAACATAACCATGGTCGGCTGCACTTGCAAAACGAGCCCACTTTAATCAGAAAATATAAGAAAGTCGAAATTAAAACTAAATAACTTGATGATCAAACTTATAGACAGTAATTTCACAGTCTTACTTTGCATCTAGCACGTGATAGCTTGGACCAAGTAGCCTGAGCCCTCTTGTCAAAAACTCTATGTGTTTATCACGCTGAAGTTCCATACTAGAGAATAGATTCCAAAAGGTAAGGAAAAAGTAGTCCACAAAAATAAATGATACAACATTCAAAAATCAGATGAAAGAAACATTTTTTAACTAGTATTTTCTTTAAGCATTATCAATTTGAGATGAAGTGTTTCTCTCTTGAACAATTCAGATATAAAAAAAGAAGGAAAAACGAAAAGTGAAAAATAATAAAGAATCAAGAACTTGAAATTTTTAACCAATTTTGGACCATTGTTTCAAGTAGAATGCAGCGAAAAAAATTGCACCGTAATATTTTTCTTCTGTTTGCTACAAGTACGTCATTAACTTTTTAGTTACCTCAAAAATGCGGTAATGTTCTATAGGAATTGATGATAACAATAACATTAGTTGTGTACTTATCAGTATTCAGATCATCCATCTTTCTTGTTGTTTTATCGGCTGTCCAGATTGCATGTAGATTGTCTTGAATGCTTTATCCACTTAGCTAGAGTACTACATCAGAAGTAAAGCACAAAATGCAGCTAAACAAGGACCCATAGGCGTGAATGTGGCTGATAGTTTTTCTATTAAAGAAAACATGGCAGCCTATCTTTGGATGTTTCTATCAGAGACAATAGCTAGTGAATGAAATTTTCGAGCATGTATTTGACACGACTACTAAAGTGCTTGTTTACTCTCTACAGTCCTTTTACACATTACCCAAAAGAACATACAAAATATAACGAAAACTAGGTGAAGACACGATCTCCTCACTCCTCATTAACCTACTCTCAAGATGCAGAAACGTCATAAGGAACTAACTTTTCCAGTAGTTCTCTCAAGATGCAGAAACGTCATAAGGAACTAACTTTTCCAGTAGTTCAGTAGTTCTCGGGATTCCATCTAAGCGACAGTCTCAATTTCCTCCCCTTCTATGCAAAGAAAGCTACAGAATCAAACTAATTATCTCAGTCACTTCTTCCGTTAATAATATCTTTGTATGAGATTTGGAGAGGAAATTTTCCATACATCTGCTAATACCCTCAAGAGCCGACTTTTTTTAAATAGTGTTTTCTTCTTTTAATGAAAAGAATAAGTATAAAAAAACCATAACGATCTATCGTGTTTTTCAACATCTGGGTGAGGTAAAGAACCCAAAACAGAGTTCATTCTCCTTGTTATAACACAAGATTAGCAAAGAAACCACAACAACAAACAATCGCAAAACTTCAGTCACAAGGCTTAATAGATTTTAGCTCACAAATAGAAACCAAAAGGCAAGCCACAGACACCCCAACTACATCCACACAACATCATCAACCACTTACAAGATACACCATTGGAGAGAAACGTCCATCGGAGAGGATATAGAGAAAAGATGGGTTTAAAGAGAAAGGAAATAAAAAAAAAGATTGACGGAGAGAAAGAGAGAGGAGAGAAAGGAGAGCAACAGAGAGAAAGAGGGAGAGAAGCCAAATTTTCTTCCCAATAATCCTTGGCGTCACAAGAACTTATACAGTAGAACGGCGGGTTTTGAACTGGCTATTGGGGTTACATCAATATACAGAACTTTCCTCCCCTAATTGCGCGCACACAAAAAAACAAAAAAAAAAAAAAACTTTTCCATTAAAAACTGCAAAAGGCTTGCAACTTGAAGTGAATAATAACAACTGTGGGCAGATCAAACTCCAATTTGTTTTACTCTGTAACAGTATGAGATATGCGAGTAAAGATGCTAGCAATTATAGATACTAAAACCCCTCAATAAGAGATCAAGACATTATAAGGAAGCAAACCTAGGGTTAGGTTTTACTGCGAGCAGGAGAAGGAATCACTCACATGAGCGATCGCGTGTGAGGAGATACGCCATTGAGGATTTGGAAGATCTCTGCGACCTTCTCTTCGACGCCGAGTTGTTCAATTTGGGTGATCGTGAGCGTCTTTTCATGGCGGTCATGGTGAGAGGATGAAGAAGACTCCATTATCGCTTTATTTTCTTCAGAACTTCAGTGTTCGAGGCTTCTGTTCTAATGCCATGTTCGGGTCCGCGACTTGATTTATCCTGGAGCTAATGTGAGTAAAAGCGATGGTAGGGGGTCACATTCACGTTCGAGAATTTATTTGAGCTAGTCAATAAACAGGAAGTTAATCTACTCGTCTATATTATACTTTAAAAAAGAATATCCGAGTTACTGTTTATACTACAAGAATGATGTAATGTTTACTGTTGTATAAATAGTAAAGTAAATTTACTCGACACTCAAAGTTATTGTTCATATTATCGTAATTTACTGTATCAGTAAATCAAAGCTGCTCATCCATTCTTAAAGTCATTATTCATGCTACAGCATTTTACTATATCATAATAAAGGGTGAAGCAAATTAAACGTATTAAAACTTGGATCTTTTTTTAAGTATAGAGGAGTAGATATCACTTCTAAATCAAATGTATTAAAATTTGGATCCTTCTTTCAGTATAAAGGAGTAGATATTATTTCTAATTTTAAGCGTACAATAATTAAATTAAATATATTAAAACTTGGAGGGAGACGAGTTTAAAATACAGTGCTTAAAAAAATAGAGGGTTGTGCTTTGCACGGGGTGCACACTAGTGTAATAGAAAGGGAAAATAGTTTAGGTTTTGTCCCCCTAATTTGTGGTGTAAGGAAGGAGAAAGTAAGGTAAGGTTACTCCTAAAAACAGAGGATATTACATAAAGATAATTTTACCCTCATATCAAGATGGAATCTAAAGGGATGAAATGACATGTACGATATTTATGTAAATTTATATATTTTTTCTTACCTTTTCTTTAATTTATTAAACTTTCCAAACGAAGTTAGTAAGTAGCTAGTAATCCTATTAGAAGAATTTGGATCCTCTCCACTACAAAAAAGTAGTGGAGAGACCACTACTTTTAATCTCAATAGTTGATTACTTAATAGGCGGTTATGATACAATCTAAATCTAACACTCACCATAACCCCCTGTATTGCACACATTCCTAATTTGCACTCAAAGAAAAAAATCACGACCATCAACTCGAATTTAATAGCTAGTTAATTAGTTAAGAGGCATAGACCGATGATAATACTTGAAAGCATTGGATAGTGGCTTGCTTGCTTTTTCTTATATAGAGAGAGGGGGAGGGAAGAGAGAGAAACAAGCCAATTAACAAGTTGCTTCTCGCCTCTCCCTCTCGACCAACACCCCACCCCCCATTGGTCATACACTGGCTCGATCATTTCTGGCGCCGCCAATGTGAGAGTCCGAGGGATATTGTATTAATCATACAACCCATCAGATTGTCCATTTGAACCGTTGAGCAGATAAGTAGAAGAATAGCAAGACTCTCCTCATTACGGCCAGAGTTTGAAATTTGAAAGGACATGGAAGATTTTTTTTCTCTTAAAAGCTTAGAGGAATGTCAGGAATTTTTCAAAGCAAAGGTTCGTAAAAGAGTTATCTTGGCATAAAGAGGCTATTTATAAGCTTTCAAGGAAGAGTATAGAGGAATGTCAAAGGACGCTGTGATTTTTAAAGCAGGTTAGATCCACCTCGAAATCAAAAGAAGTTCATTCAAAACACGAAGCGTCACCCTCATTTAGTGCCTCACGTCCCAATGCTTAAAAAGTGGGAGACCCTCCCTTAAATCCATGACACTTCGTCTCCCAAAAAGACGGTTCAAATCTTGAATGACATCAGCCATGAATAGCAAAGCTAACAATAGTGGCCAATGATGATAAGCCGCGTCTCTAAGATAGAGACTCCTCAGTTTTTCGTCCTCAGCAGGCCTGTATTAATCAGAGCATATCTTATTTCTCTCGGAATCGACTGAAAGCCGACTCAAAGTGAAAGGGGTCAACTGTTATGGTGTTCACTCACCTAAGATACGGATATTTACAAAGTAATATAATGAGAATCCTAGCAAAACAAACTCAACCCTTTGGCCGACTCCCACAATCGCATCTCGGCCTTAGGGTAAGGAAAGCTCTAGTCAACTCTCAATAGTTCTAGGCATACGACTCCTCAGTCGAATTTTAAGCCCTTGGCTCTTTATCAAGGTATGCCCAAGGCACAGAATATGGTCGAATCCTCCAGTGCAACTCGACTATCATGGCTCATTACAAGACCTTGGTACCTTATCAGGGATAAACCCAAGGCACAATCACAAAGGCATCGGCCCTCACCGATTCATCAAACCGACTCTCCTGCGTCGACACCAAAGGCGATATTGATCTGCATGAGAGATCCTGACCTCCCATACGAGTTGACATCTTTACATTGACTCGAGATGATTATTAGCTGAGACGAGATGACATTCCAACCAGTCGGATTGGCTGACATTCCTGAGTCGACACGAAAGGCGGAATCAGTCGATCCTTCATAACCGAGACGACTCCTCAAGAATCCGCTCGACCACTTACTCGGTTGTTTACTCAACCAGAAGTTCACTTGACTACCTAGTCGACAAACCACAAGGACGACTCAAAGATTGATGGCTCTCTACTAAGAGGATAAGATCAAACCGAGTTCCCTTCGGATATGCACTAGCTCTCTAATCAACATGACAACACTGACTTATCTTATCAAGACCACATCTCTGACACTTCTCGTGACTTAGTAGCCAGTCTTCTCATACTTCACTCATAAGTCGCTTCCTGGATATTACAGAGGTGTCCTCTCCCATACCGAAGTGACTTCCCCTCCAGTCACCAGCCGACACCTGTATAATGAGGGATGATTCAATATGCCCACGTGCCTTCTGCCACACCCATCTATCACTTCCTGGATATTGCGGAGACGTCCTCTCCCATATCGAAGTGACTTTCCCTTTGATCGCAAGTTGACATCTATCAAGCAAGGGAGAACCCTGTTATCAGCTCACCTCGCCACTTCATATAAAGGTATAACCCTAATTAGTAGAGGAGGACAGATATAAAAAATAGTCCCCTCTAAACTCCTTCCATGAAAAAAGAACTGACACAGTTCTTCAAAAAACACAGAGAAACTCACGTAGATCCTCTAAGCATGCACTTTGCTACCTTAAGAATCATATAGGTTCATAACCTTCCCCCTTTTCCACCCGAGTTTCACTAACTTGACCGTCGGAGAAACCATGAGGAAACTGGTCCCCGCCCTCTCACGGGTTCATTTTGTCTATGCAGTACAGACATCAAGCCCTCATTCAAGAACCAGACATAAAGTCGAAGAAGGGAGCGGGCCCTCCATCATTCTTCATCACCCCGTAATAATCCTCTTCTGGATTAATTGGTTATTTGATATTAAGCATCAACAGTTTGGCGTCCCCTATGGGGTCACTCTTCTTCTTCGAGATGACATACAAAGTTCTGAACAAGGGTCTGATTTTAATCACCCAGAAGAACAACACCGGAATTGCACCATTCAAGCTAAACGAAACCCGGAGTTGCATCATTTAAGCTAAGAAGGATTAGCCTATGGCTATGAGGAGCCAACATAGGTGTAGCCCTCAAGGGCCCCTACAGCTTCCCGGGGAGCATTTGCTAAGCAGGCCATCCACCAGACGATGGAAACTGCTTCTAGAACCTTGAGAGCCCTCCTGGAGAAGACACACCACTATGGTGATTGTCTGGCTTAAACATGCAGCACATGCTTCTTATCACTGTCACAGATGAACTCCAGACGAACTCCACCTTATGGACAGACAAGAAACCTAGAGTTGGATCACAAAGCAGAACTCTACCTCCTCCAAGGGTTATGAGTAGATCCAATGTCACTGAAGCTCCAACTGGCAATAGCTCATATAAGTTTGGGAGCAGTGATTAAGTCTGTGATAGGTGTCTGGGACCATGAAGGATTCTTTGTAGGAAACTCCTCTATATCAGGGATAAGATTGCGGGAAAAGTTTAGGGCCTGTCAGCTGATTATCTTCCTAAGAAGAATGATCTTGGCCCTTCAACCGATGCCTTCACCACTAAAATTGCCTAAGCTCTGATGGTCGAAGCATGTGACCCGCATGATCCTCATAAAGGAGAGTTCTCCATTCACAACATGATCCGATTCCCAGTACTCCAGAAGCTCCTTCAAGAAAACCTTCACGGTTTGTCATTTTAGGGAGTACAATACCGGCTGGTGGATTCTCTCTCCAAGAGAGTTTCCACCACAAAAGGTACCATGTAGGCTGGTGGATTCTCTCTCCAAGAGAGTTTCCACCACAAAAGGTACCATGTAGCCTCTCTCCATTCAACATGATTCATGGCGACTAGGCAGTTCCTTTTGCCAAAAGTCGGCATACCAACCATCCACCTTCAAGGCCTTACTGAAGGTTCAGACTCAGAAGGAACCTTGGCTGATGAGATGGCAAATAGAGTTTCAACTCATCTTTGTTTATCAACAAGTTGTCCGCTATGAAAGCAAGCAAAATCCAACAAAAAGAGGTTCTGTACTGGCGGCCTCATCCACTACAAAATTGCCTTTGAAGCAGAGCCAAAGCAACACCACAAGTGGTTCAACCCCCTCTGAGCATCAGATGTCTGCAAAGGATATTTTTCATGATAATGTAAAATACAGAACTGATAAAAAGTCACTCAATATGGATTAACTCTGATTTTGCAAGGATCAAGGCTTCACTATAGCCAAAGACCCAAGGCACAACGACTCCTCAGTCGGATAATAAGCCCTTGGATCTTTACCAAGGAAAGCCCAAGGCAGAACATATGGTCGAGTCCTCCGGCTCTTATCGATCATCATGGACAAGCCCTTGGTACCTCATCAGGAATAAACCCAAGGTACAACCATTTGGCCGACTCTCACAGTCGTCTCTCAGTCTTAGGGGAAGGAAAGACCTGGTCAACTCTCAAGAGTTCTAGGCATACGTCTCCTCAGTCGAATTTTAAGACCTTGGTAACTTTTTAGGGTAAACCCAAGGCCCAACGACTCCTTAGTCAGATAACAAGCCCTTGGTACCTCATCAAGAATAAACCTAAGACACAACCCTATGGTCAACTCTCACAGTCACTACTCGACCATACAGGGATTATAAAGATCTAGGAACCCAACCTAAAGGTTGCCATTCTGCTAAAAAGGTATTCATAAGCCTAAGG